TTTAGCTTTCAGGGCTGAAGGTCTGCAGCCTGACTTGTGATCTACAGTGCAGCGCAGGTGCAGTCACTGTGCTGAGCCCGGTGTTATGGTAATGATACAGCCTTTCACACTGACCAATGAGAAATAACTTTGAAATGTCTGTGCTCTTTGTGGTTCACCTTTTGGAAACATCTCACCACCAAGCAACTCACTAAACATATTTTCCACTTATCAGATATCAGAAATTTTATGCAGTAATCAGAGGTGTTACGAACCCCAGTCTAAGGTTGGGGCGTAACAGAGTGGAAGGGAGAGGGGAATGGGAATAAGGGAAACACAGGGTGTGGTGCACAAGGGAACACACGTGGACAAAGGGGTATATTTTTATATTTTTTCTTATTTTATTTACACGCAACAGACACAGAACAACAAACCTGGTGCAAAAGCTTCAGGAGTGATTATAGCCAAAATAATAAACAAAAACCAGACTACCGAACGAAACCCAAATCTAACTGAACTAGTAAAAACAAAGAACACAGTAACAACAAGTCCTACACCTTACTCCCTAACCAAATCACAGTGTACAGAGAGTCTTTCAAACAAAACGGCAATCACTCCCTACGGACCAGACACACACACAGCACATACACAGAGCAAAGCATCAGAGTCCAAAGGGCGCGCAAAGTCATAAACAAAAACCAGGCGAAGGATCGAAAACCAGAAAGCAAACAAACCAGGGCAGAAGTACAGAGAAAGGGCAAAGCGAGAAATCGTAAACCGAGAAACCAAAACCGTCATACACAATAATCAAACCAATAAGCAAACCAAAGACAATCCAAAAATATGCGCAGAGCTCCAGAAGGTTCTTTCTGTCCGGCTTTTCACTTCCGCCGGACGGAAGTGACGGCCGGTCTTGCGGGGAATCATGGGCGGGGTCCAGACGGGGAGGCGGAGCAAGGGCCGAGCCGAGTGGTCCTGGCCGGGGGCGGAGCTGAACAACAGTGCCGCGTAACAAGAGGTTAGATAGCAAGAATGACTTTTGTATTTTTATCTTTTGTCATTCATTTATCCAGCAACTACTAATTCTCATTGGAGTCTGGAGAGGGTGGGGCCTGACCCAGGAAGCACAGGCAGAGACCAACCTGCATGGCATGCCATTCCACACAAACACAACTCAGATGCTCAGATTTGCCTGACTGTGTGATTTTGGCTGAAAGATTAATTAAGCACAGTCTTTTCTGTATACATGGATTCATTTAACCTTAACAATGAGATTCAGCAACATGACCTTATAATGTTAATGACCAGTATCTTACTGATATTAACTGAATTATGCAAAATTCTACATTATTACACCCAAACTGTTGATACAGTATTGACTAAGTGTTATTACTGACATACTGGGCATGCTGCTTTTTAGCTTTGAATTTGAAATGCTAGAAAATTAATTCATGCTGTCAATAACATCTCACTTGCTCACCCCCTCTTAAATGAAAAAATACCCTTTGTGGTTTTTCTAGTGAAGCAGAGGGACTGAGCTGAGGACCTGATGGTTGTGTGGTTTTCGCTCACTGAGACGTGTGACACAAACACCCTGCTCTCAGTCGGTCAGTCTTCCTGTAAAATGCAGAGGTGAGACTGCTAGTGGAAAATTACTGACTGCAGCATCAACAACACATTTAAACAGCAGCACAAAGAAAATGTTCCACAAATGCAAGAAATCTGTATGCTTACAGCACACATCAGACACGCTGACCCTCAGCACTGAGCTCCTCCAGGCTGTGTGCTCTCCCCCTTCTCTTCAGTCTCTACACAAATCAGTGCTGCTCCAGAGATCAGTCTGCGAAGATCCTGAATTTTGCAGGTGACACTACTGTGTTTATGATTAAAGGCGATGAGTCTGCCTACAGACTGGAAGTCGCACAGCTGACCATCTAGTTCTGAACTCATCCCAAATGTCCACATGCTTAGACCCCTCTCATCATCAGGGAGGAGATCCCTGCAGAGGGTGTTTAAGAAGGTGTGGAGATACTCTGTGTTGTATGGCCCGACAATGGGAATACGAGTTAATACTGAATATATAATGACTTGTGCAATGAACTAATGCCTGGATGTTTTGGGGGTTAAGACTATTCAACAGAGAACCAGTACAGGCAGTTTCCAGGCTACAAATGAGCTTCATTCACTAATTCTGTCTTCAAATTTGCAGGTATATCAGAAAAATAACGAATAATAATAACAGTAATAACTATTATTATTATTATTTTAATTTATTTATTCTTATGTGATAATAAAAGTACATACATTTCTTGCTGTACCTTGAGCTGAGGAACCACTTAATCCATGTAGTGATAATGTGTCATAATGTTAATTTTGCATTTGATACTACAAACTATTGTGTTTTGTCAGTTGCTGTTAGCTAAAACTAAATACCAGCAAGATGAAGGAGATGCTGATAGATTTCCACAGGAGAAAATAACAGACTAACGCAGTAAATATCCTGGGTATGGTCATTGAGATGGTTGGTTCCTACAAAGAACTGGTTGTTCTCCTTAACAGTAATGAAGGCAGTAATCTGCCAGGGCCAGGGCCATCTCCATTTGGTGAGAAGACTAAAGTGCTTTGGTGTGTGCAGGACATTGCTATGGACATTTTATGACCGTAGTGTCATCAGTGATATTATACACAGCGGTTTGTTTGGGAGGAGGGATTACAGAGAGGGAGCCAAGCAAACTGGTGAAGGAGGCCG